AGCAGGCTACAAAAGCATGTTATACAAGTACAGGGGGGGCTAGCATTTTCTTTTTTTTTTTTTTTTAAGGGAATGCTAGCATTTTGATGTGTGACAACTTTTTTTATTTTTAAAAATTTATTTATTTTGAGAGAGAGAGAGAGAGAGAGAGAGAGAGAGAGAGACGGAGAGCACAAGCAGGGGAGAGGGCAGAGAGAATCCCAAGCAGGCTCCATACCACCAGTGCAAAGCCTGATGATGCAGTACTCAAACCCAAAAAACCATGAAATTATGACCTGAGCTGAAACCAAGAGTCAGATGCTCAACTGACTGAGCCACCCAGGCACCCCAATGTTTGACAACTCTTAAACATTAATGTTTTACAGGTTAGCAAACCAAGATCTAGCGAGGTGAAATGACTTGAGGTCACAAGTGGCAAAGTCTGGAAACAGCAGAGGATAGTCAAGGTAGGACTAGGAGTTTATTCCTTCTCTGCCTATACTGGGATTAGACTATCTGAATTCTCTGACTCCTGTGTTTGTTTTATTTTTGTTTTGTGAAGCATCAACCTGATATCAGGTCAGAAGAGGAATAAGAAGGAAGGAAGTTAATCTGCAGAGAGGTGAACCTCAAAAGAGACAAAGATAGTTCATGAAAGAAGAAATAGAACTGGCCACTAAAAGTATAGGAAAAAAGTTAAGCATCTTTAGTAATTAATGAAATATGGAGTACTCCTTAAGATGCCATCTTCTCTTAAAAATTGGCAAAGATGTTTTAAAAATAAGAATAGTCACTGTTGGCAAGTATGCTGGGAAACTGGCACTCTCATCCATTGCTGGTATTAGTATAAAGTGATCTATTTTTTTCTAGGGCAATTTAGAAGTATGCATCACAAACCTGAAATTGGTTCATACCCTTTGGTCCAGGAAGTTTTCCTTCTAGGAAAATATCCTAAGGAAAGAATCACAAATAAGCACAAGGCTGTTCATTGCAGTGTGACTTATGTCTAATTATTAAAATTATGGTATATCCATTCAATTGAATAGGATACAATGATTACAGCTAACATTTATTGAGCAGTGTACTATTGCCAGGGACTCTACTAAGTTATTTAAATACATTATTAATTTTAATAATTAGAATAACTATGATGGCAATATCATTGTCATCTCCATCTTGCAGATGGGAATACCGAAGCTCAGAGAGAGGTTAACTCATCCCAGGCCACACTGCTATTAAGTTGAATAGTGTGGATCTGAATTTAGGTCTGTATGATGCCAAAGCCCATGGCCTCAACCATAGTGCTCTATCACCTTTGCAGTCATTAGAAATCATGTTTTAGAGGAATAGTGACATTCTAAAATGATCATGATATAAGGGCATCTAGGTGGCTCAGTCTGTTAAGCATCCAACTTCGGCTCAGGTCATGAACTCACCATTCATGGGTTCAAGACCCGCATCGGGCTCTGTGCTGAGAGCTTGGAGCCTGGACCCTGCTTCAGATTCTGTGTCTCCCTCTCTCTCTGCCCCTCCCCCGCTTACACTCTGTCTGTCTCTCTCTCTCTCTCAAGAATAAAT